TTACTAAAATTTTATAGGTTGTACTACATATTATTCACACATATAATATTTTAAATACTTTTAAACATGTTGTTTGGATAAATTTATTACACGTCATATATATTAAGGATCTATATCAATATGCATCGCCCTTATAATATATCTATCGATTGCTCTGAGCCTAAATGCTAGGCTCGTATGCTTTGTATGCTTATTGGACATAAGTTTGTGCTTCGTATTGACACATGTACATGTTTAGTTTTCATCTATCTTTATAAATAAAACTAATTTTTATCATCAAATCAATTTAAAAAAATTAAATACAAATATTATTTATAAAAAAATAAAAATCTAATTCATTAGTACATCATGAAATAATCATTTTAATGTGTTTTTTCCACATATTTTGGATAAAATATGAAAATTAATTATTATATAAAATCAATTTTAAGAAATATTATAAAATATTATTATTAAATTTAAATAAACTATATAAAGAACAGAATGTTACTATGTTATTTAAAATAATAAATAAAATATATCATAATTAAAAATAATAAAATAATTTTATATTTCATAAAGTTAGAAAATAATACATTTCTATGTAAATTAATATTCTAGATTATAAATTATATGAATTTAAAATATTTGAAAAATTAATGGACAAGAGACGCTGACTATATTTTTAAAACACAATCACCATATAATAAGTTGTTTTCTTTAAAAAAAAAATCGAATCAAAAATCGATGAAGTTATAAATAATATGTGTTTTAGACAAATATAATTCTAATATAATTAAAAAATATCATGTTTGGCAAATTTAGTGTAAAAACGTTGGCGCCATTTTATATTAATTATTAATTTGTTAGTTATTTATTATTGTTGCATATTCATTATACAAAATCTCACAATAAAAATATAAATTATATTATTTTTTTCTATTGTACAAATTTTTATATATTTAAGTACCGTATAGTACACGGGTGCAGACTAGTATGTGTTTGTATGTATATATATGTATATATATAGATATACATAAATATATTAAATTTAAGTGGTTTTATATATATTTTTCTTCCAAAATAATTTAGAAAAAATTTGAGTGACCTCAAACATTTTTCGAGAATAGTATATAATATTTTAGATACTTTGACATATGTTATATAATATCTTAGGTGATTTTAATATTTTAAACATATATGTTTTATGTCCTATTACACAAGTTATGTTTATGTATAGTTTTCAACAAATTAATATACATTAAATTATATCAATTCAATGACAATTTTATTTTAAAATTTTTTCAAATAATCCCACTTTTATTTGAGTTTGAAACAAAAATTTAAAATATTTTTATCAAGCCATAGTTAAACAGATTGATTCATTTCCATGTTTATTTAACAAAAAACCATATTTATCTAATAAGTATTCCAAAATTTTTTATATAATTTTGGAAGATAATAATTCTATAATATGTTGTTTCTAATAAACTGATACTATTCATTTTCGTGTTTATCTAACAAAGAACCATATTTATTTAATAAGTATTTCCAAAGTTTTTATATAGTTTTTGGTAGATAATAATTTCATAATATGTTGGTTCTAATAAACCGACTATAGTATCATTTCTGTGTTTATCTAACAAAGAACCATATTTATCTAATCAGGCCTCATTTACTAGAGAGGATGAGATTGACAAATTTAATCCCCACATTTTGCCACATCAGATTTTATCCCATATTTACTAAACATGATAGTATCTTCAACAAACTCAATCATCTATTTACCATCACTGATACAAAAGCTTTGTGTAAAATGACATTACAATTTTACCCTCCCAAATTCTTCATTTTGACGCCACCACGATCGGGATCTGCCATCATTAGGGTTTCTTCTTTCTGTTCAAACATTGCACCAATCTCTGGAGCTCTTGACATTGACCGACTCCGTGACGAGTAAGACGACCAGAAGTTGAGTCCAACAGAGGAGGACGACGCCGGCAGGAATTGGACGGCCTAACGAGGACGAGGACGACGGCAACACTTTGGGTTGTTGAGTGGAAGCCGGTTATAAAGGTACATTTTTAACAGCATTGACATGCTTTTATTTTTCGTTCCCCTTTTGATGCTTGAATTTATTCATATTTGGGGCACATAACTAGTTGTGGTTGAATTGATTGAGATTTGAGCAATTGAATTACTTGTGCTTGAATTGATTCAGATTGAATTAGTTGTGAATTTTGTGTTTTCATCTTTTTCTTCTACTGCATATCCGTGTGGATCTATTATTTGGGCCATGTTCTTATTTTGCAACTGAGAAAGGGTGTTCGGTTGCTAACACCCTGTTGTTAGGATTTTAGGTTTGCTCCCCATTTCAATTATAAACTTCTTCAGGCACAAACATTGTACACACATTGAGTCCTAAACGACTCCAATCCCAAAGGAGGCCGACAGTATCAGATTAATTTGCATGATATACATACTGTTGTTCAACTTATTTGAGGTAGTGGCTTTGCTTTGCCGTGACCTTGTGAAAGTGTACAAAAAAAACTGATAGTGTTTCCACAAACATTGTTGTATCTTGGTGATCTCAATTATTTTTCTTCATACGTGAAGTCACAGGCCATTGGCAAAATTTATTGTGAAGCCTATTCTTCTGTGAACAATCATCTCTTCACACGCAAACACATTGTCTCACCAAATTCTTCCTCACGATTCCTAACATAGAAAAAAATGACCGCACCCCAAACATTGTCATTATGCAATTTAATTGATGGTTACTGTCATTTCATCGTGTAATGTAGGCATTAATAGGTTGTGTTCGTGTATCTCTGTCAAATCAAATGTGCGAAAAATATTCATAAAAAAAGACAAATATAGTCCTATCAGATAAACAACAATAAAAACTCATAAACTGTTACTCAAATGAACTCCTACCATCCTTCGAATTCCGACATGTCGTGAACCGTTGGCCATGGTAGATTATTAGTCATACATGATACATGAAATTTAAAACTCCTACCATCCTTCGAATTCTGGAAAGGCATGAACCGTTGGCCATGGTAGCTTATTTGCCATACACGATAAATAAAAATAAAACGCTGCATGAAAGAAGCCTAAAGACGGAGCCATTTTTTTGTTCATTGTCATCTCCTATTTTTTGTAAGGAGACGACGAAGATGCAGTAGAACTGTTTGGAATATCATTGTCATTGTTGTTGTCCCAATCGTGGGACGCCCAATGGTTGTTGAACTTCTTCATAACATCAGACGTGGAAGCCAGGTTGGTGGGTGGTTTTTCCGGGTCCGCAACAGACGAAACACTAGTGGAGTCAGTATTGTACCATGCAAGTTCATAGTGAAAACAATTATTTGTATTGTCTGACTCGTTTTCAGTAGGCATACAGGGATTACCGGCTTCGTCGTCATCGTCATTGTCTCCTTCATCTTCTTCGTCAGAAATATTAATCACTTGTTTAGGGACACGAGCGTTCGTGTTAGCGTTTCCAAACAAATAATCCAGCCCTTCGAGAGCGGACTCACCCTCCTCCATGTAAGCCATGGCCAGCTTTTGTTTCTACAATATTCAGCAAAACAACATTATCAATACAGGATTCCCATCTGGTACAGAGGGTCAAAGATGAACATAGCATTTTGAATCTTTATTTTTCTATTTTTGAATTCAAATCTACTTTCTATCGAGTCATGTTAAATTTCTCTACTTTTCAAGTTAATTGCATCATGTACTCTCGTACTCCTGAGCATCTTTCTCTTCTTTACCATAGTTAACAATTGCATTTGTCAACATCCTCTATTGTGTTTTGTATTTCTTAATTATAAACTGAATTACCTTTATTTATTCGACTTTCATCCCTAGTTGCATTCTTTTAACATAATCTATGGTATTAAAAATTTGTACATTTTTTTGTTTCGAACCATGAACAACCTATGTTTACGTAAAGAATTCAAAATAACTTACTCGAATAAGATACTCCCAAGTTTTTTCGCTGGCCTCAACCTTATTGGTTCCATATGTGAACACAACCCCGCTTTGTTGTGTTATCCAGGTGAAAACTTCATAGCGTCTACGTAGTTTTTGTAGCTTTCCTTTGCAATATTCCAAATCAAAGCTCTTACCAAATTGTGCGTTGACGAGTCCTTGTGCACATAGTAATGCGTGATGGTTTGGACGCCCAGCCTTGAAATGTCCCGCTTTTGCTTGGTCAACCAACTCTTCCACGAACACTCCTTCAATTTCCCTAGTCCATTCCCCAGAGTAAAAAACCCTGCTTTGTGCGACGGCAGCTTCAAAAATTTTTTTTGGAGCCATTCACGGACAGCTACCGAGTTTAGGAATCTGGAGTTTTGGATTCAACAATTTTATGTTGCTTTGTTGCTTCTATTTCTAAATGCTTGGTAATGCATGCAAATATATAAGTAGTGAGTGCATGCAATCCATGCTTCATGAATAACCGTGTATTTTTTTAACAGTTTTTCTCACCTTTTAATGTATTTAGACTTCTTCATCTTTTTCTTTTGTCAGGAGGGAATATATTCCCAGGTACAAATCAAAGAAAGAATCCAATGCCAGTAGAGTTGTCATCTCATATATTTTAACATTGATTTTTCAGTTTATATTCGGTAACCGAGGAGTAGATTCAAATGTATGTCATGACCAAAAATATGAAAGACTGATACCTGCTTGTTTCTTCACATGAGACTGATAACCGAGGGAATATATTCTTTTTTTTTTTTTTTTTTGACATATGAATGACTGATGATGGGCATGAGTAAAGGGAATCAGAATATATTTCCTGTGCACTATCAGAATATGTTTTCAATATGTTTGAATATTCAATGAACTTACCTCTGCAAACACAGGTATGGAATCAGAGTTCCCGGCCGAGCAAATTGAATATTTGTTTAATAATAAATGGACATATGAGGTTCAAAAGTCCTTTGCACGGTTCTTGGTATTAGTGTCTCCTCATTTGCCGTTGTTACTAGAAGGCAATAGAAAGGATGCGTACTCACTGTATACCTTATGGGCGGAGAGGTTAACTAATGACTTTGGAAAATGTTTTACTCCATCGGAGTGTCAAGACAAGTATGAGCAATTTAAGATAAGGCATAGGGTGATGCGGGACATGATTAAAAAGCATGGAATCAAATATTGTTGTGAGAGTGGTATGATGTGGGGACCAGTAGAAGCATGGAATACGGTGTTTAGGGTATGTATGTCGATAAAATAATGGTGTGCGATTGGTCTTATTCATGTTGAAAATTTTTTACTGACATTATTTATTTGGCAGGTCGACCCTATCAGTGTGGCCTATAAAACTCTTGGAGACCCCTTATGGGTAGAGTTGCAGCAAATGTTTGGAGAGGTCAACGAGGAAACAGTCCATCCGGCTGTGCAAAGTAGCGCTGGGAATGGCTTTATGCCTGTTCAGGTTGATGTCGATAGCCTGAAAGGAAAGCATCCACTTGAGTAAAATTACTTGCTTCAGTCACATCCCCTATGTAGGGCTCGTATTTCGAATGTAGTTTGTTCAAACCACCTCCTAATTTGCTACATTGTGTTTGGACGGTTTTGGTGTTGTTGGATGATCATGTTTATTATAATTTGTAATGGACTTAACTAATGTTTGAGGTTTTGGATAATGTTATTATGGTGTATCGCAATTTTTAAGTTTGATTATTGCATCGGAAAGTTGTACATTTTTTAGTGGAGCAGGCAGTGAACGAATGGGGGGAATTTGCTGATACTTGTAGGTGATGGATAGGGAAGTCAGTGTTCTTGCTTGATATCTGAATGCTAGGGGTTCGGTTTGAAGCCAGTGGTATATCAGTATCAGAGGGAGGGTGATTTCTTCATTTTTTTAGTACAGATGTGTTTGCTTTATTGGACTATTTGTTTCTTCATTTTATTTCTTCATTTTATTAGTACAGATGTGATTTCTTCAAGAATATTTCTTCATTTTTTGTGGTATCCCGTGTGCTTTGTAAATTCAATGGGATTAATTTTATGGTGTTAGCTTGTACAATCTATTTTTTAATATATAATGAATTGGCCATTGTGTTATAGCACAATTTCTGAGAAAAAAATTAACAAATAAAACTAACATGCATTTGTAAAACATAAACATGTTCTCAAGCATGAACAATGTCAAAAAAACCAAACTAATGATAACGGAAACGAAGTTCGTAACATCGTCTCTGTTAAGCAAATCCAAAACGAAGTTTCCAACATCCTCCTCCAAAGATAAACAAATCGAACATCATCCTAATTAGACAAATCCAAAACCAAGAGTCCAACAACATTCTCCAAAGACAAAGTTCGCAAGATCACCCACACAAGTTAAAAACATCTTCCCCGACAAATGAACATGAACCACAAAAGAAAACAAAAACCACTACAGTTTAACCTTGAATTTTAGGCCTTCATCACTTGGGAGGAGAAAGAACGTGCAAACATCACCCACAACGATGTTGTTGTCATCGAAGAATTGTCGTGCACGTCCATTTTGTATGAGTTTCTTCCCGTGGCCATGGATTATTTCCACGTCATACGAATAGTCACCAAACTTCAGAATAGCGGAGTTGTAGTTAGAATACATGCCTTCGATGTAATCCCTCCAAAACTGCATTGGGATAGCCTAAAATATAAAAAATGTAACAAGTTAAACACAATCTTAAAAAATATGCAATTTCAAGTAGACTGTACAATTACATAAAATTAAATAACATACCAAACGTGCACGCTCGACATGAGTTGGTTTTATTTCGATGGTGAACGTGTACTGGGGTTGCCTCTCACACCCATTCGGCTGTAGCAACCACACATCAAAGTCGAAAATGGACCTTGGACGGAAAACCAAAAAGTAGCATAAGGTTATGTCCTCTTCAAGAATGAAGTCTCTCCATCCGTCCACCAATGTAGGGCAATTGTTCACCATTTTCAATGTCGTCTCGTATGAACGACCCTCTATGGTCTGGATTCGGCATGTATGTGGTAGCTCCACACCACGGTAATGGTGGTGTGTTGCCCTGGGAAATGGCTACAATGTAGTATGTGTTTCGTAAAGACAATGTAGGCTGAAGTAATAAATCAACACACAAAATTTAAAAACTGAAATTAAATAAATTAAAATAAGACTAACATACCAGCGTATGGAGCGTAGTAAATGTAACCGGCTTGAAAAAATGAGGACCATTAGCGTCAATATCCATGTTGTCCATCCTAAATCAGTGTTCAGAAGAATACACGGAAAAAAGAAATCATCAATTTCGCATATGCCACCACAACACATGTCATTCGCAATGATACATGAGTCCTGGGTAAACACATCAACTACTAACTTTTCATCCCAAATGAAAACAAGCAAAAGAAGCCTAATGGGCCCAAATGAAAACAACCACATCAATTAGTAATAAGTGTTAAATCCCAAATTAAAACAAACACATCAGTTACTCCTAACAACCCAAATGAAAACAAACACAACAACTACTAATAGAAGCCTTCACAAGACAAAAGAAACCAGATACATCAACTTCATATTTAGGAAGCCAGATCAAAAGAAATTGTTTTAAATACTTGAAACCAACACAAACGAAGTCCACTATTATGAGTACTCTACAACCGTCCTTCGCGCATCATTTTCACCATCACAGCTTTCATGTCCGAAGTCAGGCTAAAGAACATGGAAAGCTCTTGTGGATTCTTGCATAAGCGCATGGTAACTACCATCTTCTCCTCAACTGACAGGAAATGCATGTTTGACAGTGAGTCAAACACCGCATTCCTCTTCTGCTCCTCATCATGCTCAAAACCGAGCCTAGATGCAATGCCAGACAAACTATCTTTTGTGTTACAGGAGATTGATTCCATGATATCAAGAAAACGTTCCTCCCACTCGTTATCTCCCTTCCTTTTCCTCATTTTCTTTCTCTTACCCCCCTTCCCCACCAACAGACTCAGACGCCGTACCAGACGTGTCACCGATGGCAAGGCCGGGGTTTCCATCATTTTGGTTCTGGTATGATGGCACCTCTTCATTTTCGGAGTCCGGCGTGTTCTGCATGTCCTGTTGTGGGACATCGTTCGCTGCGTCTTCAAAGCCTTGTGCATTCTCACCGGTTGCTCTGTCTTTCCCGAAGATTTCCGCCCATTCGTTGATGTACGGGAAAGACTTGTTCCTCAATGATTTGGCATGTGGATCTACCTATATTATGCGAATACATGGAATGGGAACAAAAGTTAAGAAGATCTATATTCATCGAGGAGATGCTATACTTGACTCTTACCTTTAACCAAGCTGTCCAAACTTTATCGTCGCACGAAAAAGATTTTGTTATCTCACTCCACCCGAAGCCTGAATTAGATTTGATGAGTGCCACACTCACATAGGTCTTCCTCCAAACATGTATTTTGGAGCTTATGTGAGGATCTGCACGAATGTCACAGCCTGGAAACTTCGCCTTCAATCTTCTCTCAATCTCGAAATTGTAGCCTTGCCTAAACCCATTATCTGCCCTCCAACCCTCGGTAACCATGTCTTTTAGGGCATCTATTAGGGCACCCTCCTCAGCCCGGGTCCAAACACGGCGTGTCTTTGCTTGGGAAGAGGAAGGTCTTGTTGTGTTATCCTGGGTACATGAATACTCCATGGTGGTTCTTGGCTACTGAAATATCGATTTGATTGTAAAGTATTAAGATAGAAATATGTAATACACATGCTAAACTATTCAAGTAAGATTCCATTATCATATATGATGGATAACCCGAAGAAAGCATATAAATCCTCAACAATAAAACAAACAACGCAAACATAGAAGAAATGGTCCAACATAAGTAGACAGTTCATCCCTAAACGTAAACTGAAACTGAAGCAAATGTTTTTTGAACTAGGTCACATTATGCTCCCATTCATTAAACATATCCTGTGCCAATCGGTCACGGAATTGGGTCCATTCTGGGCTCGCCTCAACCTGGTCTATCAAGTCTTCTTCACACGGAGTTGTGGACAAACCATCAACCGGTATCTCAGGAACTAGTGCTTCAATGGGATCAATGACCATTGTTGTACGTATGAAATTGTGAAGGAGCGCGCATGCCATGATAATGCGATTTTGGGTTCGAATGGAATAATATGAGCAACTCCTTAGAATTGCCCATCGCATTTTCAAAATGCCAAACGCACGCTCAATCACGTTTCTAGCCTTGGCATGGCGAAGGTTGTACAATTCTCTAAAGTTTTGTGGTCGGCGTGACCCGGTACCCCACTCCTGTAGGTGGTATCTCACTCCCCTATATGGCGCTAAAAACCCAGGACCATTGGTATACCCACCATCCACCAAATAATAATTTCCTGTGTCACAAGTTGTAACAAAGATTAATCTTTTACCTGTGTTTTGTTTTATTTGGTAATGGATTGGATGTTATTTGTTTAAATAATAATTATATATGAGATAATACCGGTTGGAACACGTAGACCATGCGTCCTAGTAACCGCATCGCGCAGGACTCGACTATCCGCAGCTGACCCCTCCCAACCACAAAGCATGTACATGTAGTTCATATTTCTATCACAAACTCCAAGTACATTAACAGATACACTACCCTTACGGTTTCTATATCGTGCCTTCTCAGTCGAAGGGACTCGCACGTCAATGTACGTTCCATCGAGTGCTCCTAGACATCCCTAACGAAAAACAAATACCCAATAGATATTAGTTCGAAATAATTGAACTAACAAATTAGTATGAGGTTGAGAAATGTGTGTTAGGTTACCTTGAACCATTTCCACCTTTCATCAACACAATTGGCTTCAACTGCCTTAGGTTTGACAACTAGGATGCGGTAAATTCGGATGACAGCATCAAGAACACGGTTAAAGTATTTGCTTATTGTTCTACCGGATCTAACAAAATCAAGCTTCAAAGTAACATTTTTCTTATGGTGAGCTAGGGCTGACAGAAAAATTGCAACTTGCTCACTGGCTGCAACATTTCTAGATGGTCGAAGTCCCCCAAAACTTTGAAGAAGGTAAGTTAGACGGCCGAAGCAGTTACGGTCCATACGGAGGTTCTCGAGACAGGTTGTGTCACTCACGTCAATTAGCCTTCGCATGTAATTCACCTGATGGGGGAGTCTATCGCTAAATCGAAATGAGGGAACGTGGTTGGTAAGAGAACGTTGACGTTTTCGGCGAGGGCGGATGAATTTGATATAGTAATAAATAGCTAGTAGCAAAAGAACTTGAACACTACTCATAACCTCCTCCAATACAGCAACAACAGCTAATTCATCCGCAACGGTAGCCATCTACAAATGTAGGATTAAGAAAAGACATTTACACTAACCCTAAACTAAGTAATGGGAACCATAAACGTTGAACACTACTCTTCACCTTATTTTATTTTGCCAGGTCACTTCCTGTACATTAAACGTTGACATGCATTTACATTTTATTAAAAGCGAAATATCAAACAAAGTAGTTGCTCAGTAGTAACTCATTGTTAACCATTTGCTAAACAATCAATATCTGCCCTGCTCATAACTGAAAGTTAACACATAACTGAAAGTTAACAGTTAAGCTTCACTGAAATAGCCCAGCTTCAGAAAAGTAGATATACTTTATGATATTTCGCTTGATGTTGGAAGACAAAGAATAAGCATATCAAATTCAAGAACAAAACAATCTAGCACATACACAGAAGATGCTCCTAACAGGAAAGGCACATTGTACGAATCCCGTATATGCTATCTACAAATGGCCAACACCCATGATAAAAGAGCAACAAACTGTACACATACAACAAAAAATTGATAACACTGAGCTCAACAAAGACACGAAGTTACATGAACTAACACTCACAGCAGCATAATATTGATAGCAGCATCGTCCTTGTAGGATTAACAAAAGAAAACAGGTTCATCTACGAACAACATATGAGTTCTGACATGGAGTTTTATAGTTTTTAAGACGAAACTGTTTTATTTTATGGCACAACATTCATTAACCATATGTTTTGACCAACTGTGCATACAAGGACCAACTGTTTTGACATGGGAGTGTAACACATATTAAGCTTCAATTGGATATTAACTTTATTTTCGTCTTAAAACTGTTAATCAAATGGTTGGAATGAATGTAGTTAATAAAGGCAATGACCGACGCTTAACACATGCCAAGAGGCGCACCTCTTGGCGAGTACAAACCATAAAAATCGAATGACTACAAAATGATACACAAGTGATGAAGTATAAAGCAAATGTAGTTAACACCAAAATTCTTTAACAACGCACGGCTTTTGCAAATCAAAATTGGCCCGACCACAATATTGGATTCAAAATATTCAACTAAAATAGAGCATAAAGATGAAAAATCCCCAACCACAATATTGGATAAACCAAATGCAAAAAAAGCATGATATACATACTGCTCTTCATTTTGTTCCAACAGTTCCATACAAATATGCAAATAAAATTGAAGAACACGAGGGCAGCACCTCAAATATGCGTACCATATTTAAATACAAATCACCAACAATTCGAGATATAGGCGGCAACAAAAGGTAACAAAATAAAAACCAAAAATTAACTTTAAAAAGAAGACAAGAGGACATACAGTGCCGGAGATAAAAGGCACCCACTACTCGACGAAAAACCGAGCGAAATTGAGATGGTGTGAAGCGTGCATAGCATAAACAACAAAAATTTAAAACAATTCGAGGTTGCGAAAAGATTTAATTCAACACAAATTTCGCACTTACAATGCGGGAGTCAGGGTACAAATCTTCAATCTGACAGAAGGAAAAATAACACAAAAAACCATTATTATGGAGCAAAACCAAAAAAAAAATAAAAATAAAAAAGAGAAGTAGGGAAGGAACCTGACCTCGAGCAGCGGGAGACGGGGAGAGGCTAGGGTTTCTCTTTCTCGCAGACGACGAGAATGGAGGAGAAGCAATAATTATATGACCAATTTATGTAATAAAGATGAAATGAGGGGGCAATATGGACCAAAAAAGTAGGTTTTTTGGACATAATGGTCATTAAAATGGATGGATAAAAAAATCCGCCCCTTTTGGCCTGATGCATTTGTCCGGACACGCGAGCATTTAAGCCGTGGGACCCGTCCGCCACATGGGTATTATCACTATCCCTGTCTTTCCTAGTAAACACATGACAAGGTTGGATAAGGGGGGTAATCCTATCCTATCCCCTCTAGTAAATGACGCCTCAGTATTCTAAATTTTTTATATAATTTCTGGTAAATAATATAATATCTCTCTTATATATATATATCTATATATGAAAGAGTTAGGCCGTCTGTGGTGTCGACACGTGTCCATTTTCGACAGTCTCAGCGGTCAACACGTGTCCGCATTTGTTTATTTTTTGCTGTTGAGTTCGCTTATTTTTTTTCTTGCTCATTTCCGATTTTTTGGTGGACTGATTTGCCCTTTGTTTGGGTGGTGGTTGGTGTATTTTTTGGTAATTTAATGCGATACCTTTTCTGTTTATTACTTTATTGCCATTGGGTGTTTTTTTTTCATTTCTTATTTCGGCTTTCTGGGATTAATTTGCCCTTTCTTTTCCTACTTCGTGATGGTATTTTTCGCAGTAGATTTGGCAGTAGATTTTCTGCCCTGAAAATCTGGGCGACGTGCGGCCACTGTTTCTTCCCTGCAGTGATGTGATTACCGTAAATTGCGGTTGGCCCCGCCGACTGGATGGTGTCTTAATTCTTAAGCAACAAAATTGATCAAAACACTGCAAAATTTTCTCACTCATTCTCGTACTCTTCTTCCATCCAAACCTAGCCATCTACATCTTCTCCTCTCTGTACAAAATACCTAACTCGCCGCCCCACCCCTCCCTATCTTGAGCCTGGACCTTGGTCCCATCAGCGTTGGAGGACGTTGTCCGTCGTTTTTCTCCGACGAGGTCACGGCCGAAAAGTCTGGGCCGGAGTGTGTCACTGATATCGGTTCTGCTCCGGCAGAGGGCCAACAGTACAAATTGTTGATGGATATAAGACGCCCCAAGAGTGCTGGACGATAGAGATACCCAAACGGTAATTTTTTTTACACCTCAATTTGTTTCTCTATTGCATGTGTGTATTTAATATATGGATGTGTTTGTTGATTGCTCAAGTTCTAAAAATAAACATAAAAGGAATGGTGAATGAGAATTCAAGATTAAGGGTTACCTTGAGTAGTTCTTCCAAGTAAAACTTCGTCCTGAATTTCTTAATTCTGTAATTTATTTTCGATTTGAAATGAAACTTTGTTGTACTAGCTTACGTTCTTTTCGTTTACTCTTCTTTTGAAAAAAAAAAGATGCAATTTTTAAGCGGTTTATTTAAGTCTTGCAATGAGGGAGGGCATTAGAACTTTCAGTTTGGGATTTTGTCTTGGGATTTTGAGTTGTGAAAGAAGGTTTCATTTATAGCTTTTTGAATTTATGCACAAGCATGGATTAACAGGGCCCAAGGAAGTCAGGCTTCTGCGTGGAAAGTAGGCGATAAGCATCCCTATAATTTATGGTTTTGCTCTGTACTTAAAAAGTGTAAGGTGGCTCCATTTGTTCCCGTGCTCTTGTTTCTTTTACTAATCTTTGACTGTTTTTTTTTTTCTTTTAATTTTTGTGTTTGTTTGTTAAGGTTGTAAGTCAAGTGATTCAGATTCTGATGATGCAAAGGAAGATGCCTATGTTATTCCAATCTCCTTGGTCATTTTATTTTTGAGCCTGTTACAAACCCTATCAGAAAAACACAATCGTCGCCCTCACCCCTCCACCGCTCAATCCCCTCGATCTCTTCGTACTCGCTGCCAATGATCCATAAACCACTGGCATCGCAACATATATAGGTGCATCTGGTGGGCCTCATAACTCAGATTGAATACATCGGTGCACAGGGTGCTGCGAGTTTCGTACTCCACGTGGTCGGCCGACATCCGGGCCGAAGGCATCAACGCAACAGAGAACTTGTTGGCGGAGAGGCGGTGTCGGGGAAAAGAGGTTCAGACGAAGTACATGACGACCAACTAGAACAAGATGTGTGAGGTATGATTTCTGTATTTTCTTCCTTCTATCAAGAATTTGTTAGTGTTTGGGTTTAAAATTTTACACGTTTAATGGGGCAACATGTAGGTTGGTAAATCCGCTGGTGAAAATTGGAAGTCTATGAGTGATGACGTAACTACATCCAAATATCTATCAACATTTATATTGAAAAGTGATGAGGTTGGTTTTGCATATTGAGTATTTAATTTCTATTTACTAATCATGTTACTACTTCTTTTCGTTCAATTTGGTGCATGAGGAAGAAGATGATGACTAGAAGCTGTAAAGACCGACGAGTCCTCGAGTAAGATTTTTTATTGTGTAATAACTCTACGTGTTGATTTCTAGACTTTGGCTATTGGTATATTTTCTGGATATGGAAATAACCTATTCATCTTACCTACTTTGTCTACAGGCATGCATCAATAGTCTTAAAGTCCTCATAACTTTATGGCTACTACTATGCAATTTCTTAGAAAATGGAGTTTATGTAGTATTGGATGAAAAGGCCTTTAATTGTCAACATGTGTAGTATTTCGTATGATTTTTAGCTATTTTTTCTGATTTTTTTGATTTAATTGATGTGAGGGCTATTATTTAGTTAACTTCACTACTAGCTATTATTTTGTTTTCTTAATATATGAAGCTATCCTGTTCTTGGTTCACTTTTAAGTTTTTTGCGGTAAATTGTTTGTTGTATCAATGGCTAATTTGGGTTTTGTTGTCAAATGTGTTTTCAAGGCGGCTGTTGCATATTCAAGGATGATGGAGTATAATTTCATATCCCCCGAACATATCATAATGTTCACAGTTGATGATGGCAGCATAAATCGTGTGTTGAAGAGGTATTTTTTTTTCTTTTAATTTTAAGTGGCACCTTATCTTACATAGCCATCTTACTTGTGCTTGGATTTACACATATGCAGTCAATATACCTCGACTTTGAAGGGTTTGTGTGGGACATTGACACATGACTCGTGATCTTGTAAAGCTTCACTAAAAGGGATGTGCGTATTGTTTGTCTTGACAAAAAATATTTAATTTTTGATAACTTCTTATTTTCCTTTCTATTTCAGTTTTAATTGAATTAGGGAAGAAAATACTGGTGTCATTAAAGGCGTCGCTTTACATGTCGTGAATGCTGGATGATGCAGAGAAAGTCTTTGGTGGATGTGGAAACCGACTATTTTATTGAGGTCGGTTGATTTTTTTGCTAACTTATGATGTATTCTTGTTTGATGGTGTTTCGTTTTGGTATTTCTGATTGTACAAGGTCAAGGTGGTGTTTATGTTGATATAGAGTTCAGAACAAAATGGTCAGATGGCAACCCCACCACGAGTAGTTCCCTCCATTGGTTGTGGTGGTGCCGCCATCCCGTATTCTGGCCGGTCACTGCATCATGAAGGTGATTGTCCTCTTGGATACACTTTGACTGTAAACCAGTATTTCATACTTGGGCTTCGGAACTTATTTCTAAGATAACAAATTATTTAGGCTTTGCTGATCGGCTAAGAATGGTGGAGACTGAGCAAGATACAAATGTGCATATTTGAAAAAGATTTCATGTAATATCAGAAATAATGTCGCAATATAGATACCAAGAACTCTTTTTATTCTCAAACTTCTATTTTTCTCTATTTTCTTGTTTTTCCAGCTAACAAGAACTACATGTGTGTAATTTTACATTGAAAGAAAATTTATAACTATTGAGATTATTGTTTGTTTTGTATGGTTTATTCAACCCTAAATTAGTATTAATATATTTCTTTATAATGTCAGAATCCAAATGTTCTAACGTATTTGTCCTTTTTTTTTTAATAAATATCAATTTTATTTTGGTGGCTTCTTGATTGCCCCGACTGATTTTTAATATTAATCATATTTACATTTTGTCACTCTTTGCCGATCTCTACTTACACGCATACCAGCATACCAACAGGTGATCATTTGAAAGAAGTTGTATTTATGGCGTAAAAGACTTGCATTGTTTATGATACATGTACGTGACTCGAAATTAATGATGTACTTTTAATGGAAGAGGGGAAAGCAAATGAAGAGGAAACTACTTTCCTGAGATTTTCTTGGAGGTAAAAGGTTTGAGTCGCCGTCGATCGATCAGGAGATGAGATAATGAAATGGAATATATCTTATCCGTGATGATAACCATATATTCGCGGGTGAAATATATTCCTTATCTTCCTAAGTCATGTCTGCAACCCGCCTCCGCCTGTCATGTCCGTGCTATGGTAACTATTGTGCCTCTGGTGCCGACTACAACGAATGATTTGGTGGAAGACATCATCTCCAAGGTTTTCTACTGCTCAATTGTAAATTGAGTATTTTTTCTTGGCATATTGATGATATTCTTAAAATATTTTTGTGATATGAAAGTTCATTGTTGTCAGTAGTTTTTAGACTAAATTTGAGTCCGCCGTGCGTGCACGGCGTGAGACAACTAGTAATCTCTCTTATCTATATAAGAACAAGTGAGCCTATCTCAAATGGTGACACATGTCCATTTTCATTGCCTTCAAAATGCAACACGTGTCCTTTTTTTGGAACAAAAATGCCCTGCATTTGGCCTCATTTTACACTGTGACCCCTCAGTTACATTTTCCCCTCATTACCCTTTTTTTTTTTATTATTATTTTAAAACTAATTTATTCCTCAATTTCTGCTCACTTTTTCCAAAGAGCCAAAAAGCAGAGCCAGAAAACATGGATTTCGCACGTCCCCTTTTTTCTGCCCACGCAAAAGGCCACTTTTCCCATTTTTGTGCACACGCGACATCGAAAGATAATACTCCCCCCAAATTCATCGTTTTCCATCTTCGGTCTCTATTTCTTTCTTTCTTCTTTTTTACCCCAACAAATTTATCCCAATCTTGCACCTTTTTCTTTCAATCGACAACGGTTGGTGGATGCCTAACCCAAACTCTGTACCGCTGGTGGCCCGACACCGCGAGTGGTGGGGGATGTGGATCTGGCGCGGGCGAGATCACGCTGTTTGGTGTCAGGTGAAGATCGATCCAATGAGGAAATGGTGCAGATGGTACGCCTCCGACGATGACGACACGACATAGGGTTTGTACTTCTTCTGCAGAATCTTCTTTTTTTATAATTTTTTTTGTACTAGTTGCAATTGGCTTTTCATTTTATTTGCATTTTATTGTGTTTTGTGTGTGTTGGCTAGAGCATAATCAATTTTCTTTGTGCTGCGTTCAAACTTCTCAAAGGCATTTCTATATCTTGGTTTTCTTCTTTTACAGGTTTTGATTGCTTGTTCGTGGTATGTGCGGGTGTGATTTGTCTGTGTTTCGTACCTTACCGCAAAATAAGAATGTAAGTTGTTCGCTTACCTTTTATACATTATAGATTATTTACATTAGAATGATTTTGGGCATACTTTTTTTTCTTCATTGTTTACCATTCTCCCCAATCACCGTCTTCGTGGCTGCCGAGCCAAAGTAAATTTTGCTGCCCAATAATTTAATCGATCAGGTAATCTTTAATATCACTGTCAAGTGACCTTATCTGCTTAATTTTACAGATTAGCATTTGTTTATTGGCATTTGGAATGTGCATAGTAAACAAGAAATTTTAACAGTGGTATAAGTAATTATGTAAAAGGTATGCTCATATCATGTGGACAATTATCTACTATTTCGAGACGGACTTTCGATCCAAACCACTATTTTCCTGTGATTGAGACAATGGGATTCTTGGTTTTTTGGAAAGGTATGTTCTTTGTGCACATGTTGAGAATGCAAAGATATGTTCTTTGTGCCTGTGTTGGGAAATATAAAAGACAAAAAATGGAAGAAAAGTAATAGAGAGGTTTTGGGGTTGTGCTTGCATAGTCTTCTTTGCAAAAGTAGAGTGAAAAAAAGTGATCTTTGGTTTGAATCTCAGGGTTGTTTCATTTAGGATTGACAGAAAAAATTGCGGTTTCTGTAATGTTCTGATTATTGTTTAGAGGAATTCACTAATGAGGATTATTATTTGGTGACTCGATATTAATTCTCTTATTTTATTGATAATTGATAAAGATGGTGAATGACATTGAAAGCAGAGAATAGGATTCTTATTTATTGGCAGTGAAGTTAAGCTGCATATTTTGGAAGGGCATTGAACTTCATTCTTCTTTAATTACTTTGTGTGTGTGTTTGTGTGTGTGTGTGTGTGTGAGTGTGTGTGTGTATATTTCCATTACTTTTATGTGTTTATATATATGCAATTTATTTGATTCTCTGTGAAGCGTAGTCCATGCTGTTTTCACTTAGTGAGATTCATACAAAATCTCATGAATTTGTAACTGTGCAATTCCATTCTTGGAATTTCTGTGGCCTGCATATTTGAAGCTCTTTACGAACATGCTACCGTCAACCTTAACCAGGAAAAGATGAAAGATCAGGCTTAACATTCAGACGTTAACTAGGTTCTAAGGGGGAAATATCCGAAGTTTTAGAAAAAAAACCAAATTTCCAAAAAAAAGTAAATACAAGTTACTTAAGTATTTGATTTTTTATCTCATTTCTATGCCTCTGGTAGTCATCTGCATGGTTTTGTTATGATTATATCTATTTTTCTGGTGCATTGTTTTTAACAGGCCAATAAATGTGTGAGGTCTTGGTGGGCTTTAAGAATAATGAATATGAACCCGAAAAACAGCGGTCTATGATGCCGCCATTTGCAGCCGCTTGGCCAGTTTACGACACCGACACTGACAACTTAAAAGGCTACACTTCCGATTTAAGCTGACGAAACATGTCTCCAAAGATGGCCAGCCTTCATCCCGTATCAAATGATAGCTTTCCAGATGATTTAAAGCTCAACTCACTATTATCGGCAGTTTCTTCGGTAAGCATTACTTCAGATGAGGAGGTAAAAATGAAGGATGGATTTTTTGTTTTGAGGGGTATGAAGATGATGACATGAACTCATATATTATCTAGATTTATTCCGACAACAGAGGTGGTACTGCATATGAATCCAACAGAGTAGATGAGGCGATTACGTGGGCCAAAGATAAATTTTAGACACAAAGCGAGATGAAACATCTGGCACAAGGTTTAATTTGTCGCCTCTTGATATAAGATTTATGAAAATTTTAATGTTGATTAGAAAAAAAAATAATATTATGGTTTTTTTACCTTGTGGCTTGCTTCACGAATTTATGCAGAAACCTTTAATGGTCATGACGAGTCTGCTCTGGTAAGGGCCATGTGGATAGTTTCAGACCATTGGTACAGTCTGCGATTTAAAAGTTTAACAGTGATTTACTGATTTTTCTGGAACATTTTGGCGCGAATGCTTATCGGACCATTTTCTTTTTACTTTATCTGGTTTGTAGGACATACAACAGGATGAATGGGTTCCAAGAAGATGAAGAACGGTTTGAGTCGAAGGTCCCAACATGGCGTGCTTCAGTAAGTTTCAAATTCTATCACGTGAAACGATCATTTTCCTTACTTTTAGTTCTTTCCCTGCCTAGAAAACATCTAAGCTGATAAATTCAATCGCAACAGGTGTAAACCAAAATGCAAATATTCAATGAGCAGTTACGAATGTGGTCTAACACCAAACCCTATCAGCCCTCACCTACCTAAATTTTCACGTTTCGCTTATTCATTTTCACGCACTCGCTCCTCTCATTTCCGATGGACTTCTTGTACCGGCACCTCCAATCCTCCTCTCCGTGCGTGATTGTTTATCTATCTTAGCTGTTGTCTTCATGATGCTCTTCTACTGTCTGGATCTTCTGTGTGAATCAACCTCCGCTTCTGCTCCTCTCCTCTTCTGTGAAAATCGACCTTTGCCGCCAGCTCCACCGATACTCCTCTTCTCTCTGCCTCGTCGTGCGAGATTTTAATCGACCCCCGCCACCGGCATTCCCGCTCGACCAGCTCAAGTACTTCTGCAAGCATACCAACAATCACCGAATTGACATCTGTTTAAGCTTAAGTTCGTTGTTGCTTTTCTCTAGGTAAACTCTACTGCCTTTTTGTTTCGTTTTTTTATATTATTATTATTTTTTATCATTTTTTCATCTGACACTCGCAATGTTAATGCTGGTGTAACATAATACTGAGAATGAAAATGGAATATTTTTCTCATATTTTGTTAGTTGTTGCTTCGCAGTGCCGAGCTCAAATCAATTTTTAGTTTGGTGAATCTGAACTTTCCTTACGGAATTGTCTGTGTATACTATGGATGCACCAACAGTTTTATTATGATTTTGATGCAACTTGTATGGAAAAACAGATAACGAAGTGGGAAGCAACATTTTGATTTCTAAGTTGTGTCTTTCTGTGGTTCCTATTTTCTTTTATGTCCACAAATTATATATTATATTATATATATATATATATATATATATATCTTTTTTGTGTTATTTTGCTTCTATTTTGTTTACTGAGTATTTAAGTGAAATAACCGCATTTCTTGGTTTTTCGATTTGTGCGAAGATCTTCGGTTTGCTGTCGACCTGCTGCTCCAAAAGAAAACAAAAGTTCTTCTCTTTTCTGTGCCTGTTGTCAGTGTCACGGAGAGCAGGTTCGTGCTTGCATCTCTCGCCATATTTTTTGCGGTACATTTTGTTCTTTCGCTGTGTGTTTGGGTCATGTTTTTTATGTGTGTGTTTCTTTTTTGATTCTGGGGTGTCGATTTTCATTGACTTCTTTGTGTGTTTGGGTTGTTTGCAGTAAGGAATGTGATTGCCTTTGTTCATTTGAGACCATGTCAACTTAATAGGCATAATATATGTAGAGAGCTTCAGCAACTGAACTGCAACAATTGCCTATACAATTGCCTATAAACCTGTGTAATGAGCCATTTATGGTGAAAGTTTATTTTGTTAACAACCAGTGTAAAAATTTGACATCAACTTCACTGATTTTTACTACTAATGATAATTTTTCACTGTAATTTTAGACTAAATTTGAGTCCGCCGTGCGTGCACGGCGTAAGACTACTAGTCTCTCTTATCTATATATGAAAGAGTTAGACTAATTGTGGTAGTGACAAGTGTCCAATTTAGACACTCTTAATGGCTGACAAGTGTCCACAATTTATTATAGTTTTGCAATTGGATTCGCTTTTTTTGCCTTTTTTTTACATCTATGTGTATAGG